GATAATGTTTATCCTTCAACACCCCCCTCACTGCTTAAACCAAGTGAGATGGTTGTATCATGGCCGATCTCCAATTCGACCGAAGTAAACACGACTAAGCATAGCTGTAGAATGAGCCGAACTAGTTCTTCCTTTTACTTTTCTTACGTCGGCTTCTCATGCATTGTACATGGCACGGTTTAGACCGAACTAACGATTCGCGACCGGTATAACTCCAAGACCAGTCTAACTTCAAGTTGCTTCCGGACCAAAGTAACTTCGTTCTTACGTCGGACCGGACTATCTTCGCAGCCTTACGACCGGACTAACTCCAAAATATCGCACGACCGGAGTATCTTCCATGGCCATTTCACTTCGGCCCTTTATACTGAGGCCATAATGTCAATCTCATAGCTCAGCCCAATTTTCACCAAAATTACCCTCTCAACTTTCAAAAATAAATATTATAAATTAAACAACTAAGAAAACGATGCTACTAATAACCACCACATAACATTTTTGGACTCTCCATTGTTTTTTTGATCCCCACATAGTTAAATTGTTCCTCGCCTGTCTTCTTTGAAATCCCTACCTTAATCTTAGTTATATCCTTATCCATACCAATTTGAAACCTACCATTTTCCACATCCGACTGCTAACACCACCATCTTCAGCAGCCCCTTCCACTTCTCTCTTCCTTTGGCAACCATCCTCCAACCCCTCTTCACCATTCCTTTGCCACCATTCAGTTGCTCCTCACCATTCTCTCGTCACCCTTCAGTGCTTTTACACCTTCCTATGCTACTGTATTTCCCAGGTATCCCCTTATCTACACAATAGGGCTACTACTTCCAAACCCTCTCTAACCTTCGTTGTTTCCCAGTTTCCTTCCACACTTGTGACTCTTACTTAGAGGTGTGCGCGGTATGATTTGAACGGTTTGAAAGTAAAATTACAAATTGAATAGCAGATTAACAGATTGACAAATTACAGTTTGAGCAGTTTTTAACAGATTGAAGAATATTCTAACTAATTATCATACATTTGCATAATACATAACACTAATTTGTATAATATTTCATAGATATATAACACAATAATTTTACATAATATGTTTCATATATATAATTACTAATTTGTAATAAATTTCATATATTAAATTTCTCTTATATTAATTTTTACTTTGATATTTTATTAGAAGTTAAAAAATATATATATATTAACTATAGGGGAGCAGAGCAATTTGAAAGGTACATTATAAATTTTAAAGTTTAAATTGTAATTAACGATTAAAACGGAACAGATTAATATGGATCGATACAATTTTAACAAATTGAATGATATTTTGTACAATCCTACTCCCACTCCGACAATCTACGACCCTATGTCATTGGTTCATGTAGATTGTAGAGGTGAGGGTCAAGGTGTCGTTGAAGGGTGAATAGGATACAAGGGTACGAAGAGGAACCGACGGAGGATGGGAAGGGAATTATATCTCAGGAAGTACAAAGAGTGTATATGGGAGCTTAGTATTGTTTACCAACATGTTTGATTGGATAGATTAGAGTACATGATTGAGATTATTAATTCATGGATCTAATTATTTTATATTTGTTTTAATATTTTGGTTTAGGATTATTAATCTAATAGATAATTAATCTAACAAATTTGTAAGATTATTAGTAATAGGATAGAGGTAAGATTATTAATCCAATGAATAATTTATTTTATTAATTCAATTAAATAATAAATACTACACTAATTTAATAAAATTATTAATACATCAATCTTATGAATCAAATCTGATCTAAAAGTTTAATTCATTCGTAAATTTGACTGGCAATTTAAAACCAATTCCACCGCCCTATTTATGAGGAATCAATAAATTATTAAGGTTTTATTTTAAGGGACAATACAATACTCCAGTTGGGGCCTATACAGGTGAGCAAGGACAGTGTGTATGCAATCTTTTAACTACTTGATTTAACAATTGTTTTTATTCATGAGATTGGTGCGTTAATTTGTATTTGTATGGTAGGGGTCGGAACATCAGATCAAACCCCGCATAATTTTAGTTAAAAATAAAAAATAAAAAACCCGGATAATTTATTCACTAGTTATAGAGCATTAGGTAATATTATTTAGGGCCCCCCTCAGTTGAAACTTCGAGAAAATTATTACATAAATATGAAAAAAGTTTATAATTTTAATTATTAATAATGATAAAATTTATTATTAATTTGTAATTATTTTTCAACTATTACACTGATTTGAAATTTTCTCCATTATTTATAGGATAATTCTTGATTGTGTAAGGTATATAGTATGTCATTTACTTATGTATTTTTGTGATTTAAGTTACGCACTTTTGTAATAACTTCACGACACATTTTTATGGATTAACATACGTGAATTTGTGTTAAGTTACACGATTTTGTGAGGTCAATTACGTATATTTGTGAGAACTTATACTAAATTGTGATTCCCAAATTTTTATAGGTTAACTTATGTGAATTTATAATTAACTTGCGTAATTTTTTGAGGTGACTTACGTATGTTTATAAAAATTATGTGAAGTTGTGATTTCTCAAAATTTTATAGATGTAAATTTGTGTTTAAGTTACTAAGCTTGTAAAATCACTTACATATTTTGTAAGAATTTATACAAATTTACATACTATTTTTGTTAGTAATGGGCGCCCATGTGGCATAACCATTTGAATTTAAATTTGAATCTTATTCAAATAGGTTTTGAAATTGAATTCAAACCTATTTAGGATAACCACTCTGGATACAGATATTATCTCCATTAACTAATATGGATAGATAATAATAAAATATTATATATCTGGTATATGGGTTATGGGTGATTAATGAAAGAAACAACGTATGATCTGAGTTTTACCCATATACTGACTCTCTCCCAAAAAACAACGATCAAGTCACTTGCACGGTGATTTGTGTGGGTGATATTCATTCTGTAATATCACTTCACTGCGGTTTATCAGATTTTGGAAGCACGTGATTTACCCACGAGGTTCTATCATCTAAAGGTATGATCTAAATATTTTTTCCGCTGCATTCTTTATACTTTGATTTACAATTTTTATACTCAAACACTTCACTTATTTAAGAATTATTTTAGGAAGATAGTTATAATCAGATTTTTGATTAAAAGTTGCTTATAAACAATTTTTATATGAGAGAGAAAGTGAGTTATAATCTTAGAAGTGAATTATAACTCACTTTTCAAAAGCAACCTTATGTGATGGCTCAGAACAATAATGTACCAGAAAATTTTATGCCTAGAGTAATGTTGATTCATCTTTAGTAAGTAATGGGGAGTAAGGGGTTATCACTTGGCTAGAATGCTCACACACTAGCCTATGCTTGTTGGGATTTTATCCGACCCAAGTTTGAACCTCAGGTAGACCAACTTGAATGAGGTTTAGATTGAGATTAGTACCAGGTCTAGGTGCTAAAACTCGATTGGGCTCCTTGGGCTGTAAGAGGCAACTTGTTTGCTAGCTTGGCTAGCAAGACCGAAATAAAAAATATAAACTCATTGATCCTAGCTTGTAAGCCAATTCGTTACTCTATTGAGACAAACTTTAGATTAAAAATGTTAACCATTTTTGTGACCTAACTTGACTCCATACTGACGAAAATAATCACAATAAAATAATATTATATAACATATAAAATTATCAAATAAATTTTTGTTTCAAAAAATATTAGAAATTCATAATTTACTCGTAATAATTTAATCAAATAATTAAATTTATCAACACATAATCTTGTATATTATGATAAACATTTTAAGCCTGATAATATTACGTTTTATAATTTTTGGGGTAAATTATATTTTACCCTCTTAAAATTTCACCCATTTTTCACTTGGGTCTTTTAAGTTTAATTTTTCTTACTTTAACCATTATATTTTCAATCATTCCCACTTCGACTCTTTATATTTGCAATCTTCCCACTTTGCCCCTTTATGTTCGCAATCTTTCTCACTTTACTCCTAAACCAACTTCCATCCAAAAACTTAACAGAATCTACTGCATCACTAACACATCAGCTCCATGTGTGATGTAAAAAAATTACTAAATATGCAAAAAATGAGAAATAGGAAACAAAAAAATTAATTTTTTTTTAATCTTTAGTAAACTTTTTTTTTCAAATTTATTCATAAATATTATTACATTATAGATGTATCTAGATTAGATGCACCTAAAAAAATAAAAACAAATTTAACTCAAAAAAGAAATTTTTTTTACTAAAGACGAAAAAAATAAAAAAATATTAACTCAAACCCTTGTATTGTCAATTCTGAAATGAAAAGTTCACTATCGTTTTTTTTTTCGTCTATAATGAATTTTTTTTTATTTATTTTAGTCAAATTTGTTTTTATTTTTTTTAAGTGCATCTAATCTAGATGTATCTATAATATAATAATGTTTATGAATAAATTTAAAAAAAAAAAAGTTCATCAAAGACTAAAAAATAATTCTAATTTTTTTTTGTATTTTTAATAAATTTTTTACAAAGCTGATGGGTTAATAATGTAATAAATTTTATTATTTTTTAGATAAAAATTAATCTAAAAATAAAGTAGAAAGAATTTCAAAGAGTAGACGTTTTTGAACGGGCACAAAACGAGAAATGGATGTAATAGAAATCCGAACGAGTAAAAGGCGGAGAAATGCGCGGGACAGGACAGCGTGTGGAGTTGGCCCCACTGTCTCAGAGCTGTTACACATCCTGTAATTCCTCCTCCCATTTCATCTAAACTTTGGGACACACTCACTCCTCTTCTCAGAAGCAAAAACAATTTATGCTTCCAACTTCCCAAAAACCAAAACGCTACAACACCAACCCCTACCAAACACTCTCTCTCTCTCTCTCTCTCTCTCCAGATCTAGACAGAGAAACAAAAGACAAGGGTTACTGCCGGAGCCTCAGCTCTCCTCTCTCTCTCTCTCTAAATACATACACATCTATATATATAGAGAGAGAGAATGTCCTCATCTCCGGCTCCGGTGTCCCCACCGGCGACAAACACCACATCGCCCCCGCCCGCCGCGTCGACCACTACCTCGCCGCCGCCATCCACTTCTCCACCACCACCAGTAGCCTCATCTCCGCCGCCGGCATCTTCTCCTCCACCACCCGTAGCGCCAGTGGCTTCTCCGCCTCCGCCGTCGACTCCAGCTCCATCGACATCTCTCTCGCCTCCACCACCGGCCAACGCGTCGTCGCCTGCCTCATCTCCGCCTCCACCGTCCGCCTCCACGACTCCGAGCCCGCCTCCGCCTACCGGGACCTCCACGACCCCATCGCCACCGCCTCCGTCGTCCTCGAGTTCTCCGTCGCCGCCGTCATCATCGACCACCCCATCGACGCCGTCGAGTTCATCATCGAGTGTATCGACAGGGCTTGTAGTTGGGATTGCCATAGGTGGTGTTGCGATCCTTGTGATTTTCAGCATTTTGTTCGTATGCTGCAGAAAGAAGAAGAGAAGAGATCATGATTACTATATTCCACCACGACCACATGGCCATAAAGGTCTGAACTTTTTCCGATCTATTGTTTTTAGCATCAACTTCTTTTTCTTCTTTTTTTCACATGCATTTTAGGCTTACATTTTATTCAGCTATTATAAATCTTGGATTTTAATCAATTCATGGATTTGATGTTTAATTTGTTTTTTGAAGTATAATGTTGCAATTTTTTTCTGGGTAGTTAAACTTCGAATTGTATAGTGATTATTAAGTTGAGATTGCTATGTAGATCTGGTCAATTTTTTGGGAATTGCCTTATTCTTTTAATAACATGAAATGTCAATTTTTTCCTGGTAAAATTTGTTGAATTTGGGATTTGAATTTGAATTTGGACTTGGACTTGGGTTGCTTTCCTCAAACATAAAATATTGGATCATTACTTGCATATATTCGTTTTTATTCTGTGATGGTGAATATCAAACAATTGGCTTGCTTTATTATTTTATAAACTTTGACATTTGAGTATGATGTCTGTATATAGTTTGAGAGGATGTGTTTTTACTGGAATTGAGTTTGTAATTTAAGAGGGCAAAATGGGAAATAAATGAGCTTCCATACCATCATTTTTTAGTTTTTAAGAATTTGGGTTAGGAAAATGAGTCCCTTTGATTTGGGTAATAAAAATGGTAAAAGTGAATCATACTACAAATTCATCTTTTTGCTTTTTGTTTTTTTGTCCAATGGTGATTTTGGTGAATGCTTGAGGAATTGTAATATGCATATTTAATATTTTACATAGAGAATTGCACATGATTCAATGGATTTTTTATTATTTATGTGTCTCAAATAGTTTCTTGTAGTCTTCTTGAATAGTATCATGACTTTGCTCTTTCATTTTGGTGTTTGTTTGTAATTGTCAGATGACCCTTATGGTCGCCCACCGCAGCATTGGCAACATAACATTCCACCACCTGCAGATCATGTGGTCACAATGCCACCACGAAAACCCTCTCCACCACGAAAACCCTCTCCTCCACCTGCAGTTGCATCACGACCTCCACTCTCACCGGTGCGTCCTCCTACACCCCCACCTCCTCCGCCACCGCCTCTCATGAGCAGCAGTGGAGGTTCTGGATCCAACTATTCAGGGGGTGAACCACTGCCACCACCTTCCCCCGGCATGTCTTTAGGTTTTTCAAAGAGCACGTTCACATATGAAGAATTAGCAATGGCGACAGATGCATTTTCAAATGCCAACCTCCTTGGACAAGGTGGTTTTGGGTATGTGCACAGAGGAGTCCTTCCAAATGGGAAAGAAGTTGCAGTTAAGCAGCTGAAAGCAGGAAGTGGTCAGGGGGAACGTGAATTTCAGGCCGAGGTTGAGATCATTAGCCGAGTGCACCACAAACATCTTGTATCATTAGTTGGATATTGCATCGCTGGATCCCAAAGAATGCTTGTTTATGAGTTTGTTCCAAACAACACCTTGGAGTTCCACTTACATGGTGAGTTTTTCTATTTATTTTTATTTTTTCCCCTTTTCTTCCCCTGCGTTTTCGTGGGTGGGTCGGAAGGGGGCTCATTCATATTTTCAAGTCTTCTTATAATTATTACCAAATATTTCTTGTTTTTAGTTTTATTGTAGATTTTTATGTACAAATGTTTGTAAACAATCCATCTACATTGGCAACTGCATGGAGACATGGATATACAAATATTTAAAAAATGCAGGACACGACACGCAAGGCACACATACAAACATATAATTTTACATATTTATTATATGTCATATATAAAAATATTATGTACTTATTCTACGTTAAATATCTGTTCTCATCAAATTTATCAACTGAGGGTATGCTACTGAGGGTATGCTACTCCAGTGAAAATAAATAAGTAAAATTATTTTTTAAAAATGGGACGCTGTGTGCCCCCAGCATGTCCCAATGTGTTCCTATCCATCCTGACTGAAAAAGAAAAAAAAATAAAAAAATGAGGGGCACTTCCTCCAGCGTGTCTGAGTCAGGTATGAGACCTCCAAAGAGGTGTCCACACTTCATAGATATTAATCATTCTGGTTACCAAATGCACTTGGGTTATGAATTCTACATGCTTTAATTTCTAAGAACCTGTTAGCTGATGCTCAATGCTTCCTGTTACATGGATTTTGATAGAAAATAAAATCTTTCAGGAAAGGATAGACCTGCCATGGATTGGCCCACGAGACTGAAAATTGCTCTAGGGTCTGCAAAAGGACTGGCATATCTGCATGAGGACTGTAAGTTCTCTTTGCTTTGTGTTTTTGCTCTCACTGTATAAGAGGCAAGCTTTTAGCTTAATCTATTGGAATAATTGGTTTTCTAAATTGAAAATTCTGTATTTGCAGGCCATCCTAAGATCATACACCGTGACATTAAGGCAGCTAATATATTGCTGGATTTTAACTTTGAGGCAAAGGTATGGTTTCTTTATAGGCACAGGTCAAGAATCATTAGATATGTGATATGCACTATTGACATGTGATTATTAGATATGTGATATGCACCATTGACATGTGATGTAATAAATCTAAACGCAACATCATCTGCTACCCTCTTTTTTTTTCTATGTACTTTGTGAATATGGGTTTGGCTTTCATTATTTTGTCAGTAGGGTCAGAAATGTGTCCCCACCGTGACATGAATGTTTTTAATCACAAGTGAACCATAAAAATCACATATTAGGTTCTTCAAACTTTATATGAGTGTTGATTGTTGTTATTAAGTCAATAAACCTGAATTGTTTGCTTTCTTCCCAGGTTGCAGATTTTGGACTTGCAAAGTTTACTTCTGAAACCAACACTCATGTATCCACCCGAGTGATGGGAACTTTTGGGTAAGCCCTGCCTTGTGTTCAACATCCTTCATGTTTGAGTTTTGATGATGTTCATTAGTTTAAGTGTTCTAGAAAGACCTGTATATGTGTAGTTCTTGCTTCCCAGATATGATGTGTGCTCTAAGTTCTAACATCTGTACATTTTGCTATTTATTATTATTTTTGGTTTCGTAAACGCATTTATGTAAAACTCGAATTTCAATCCATACACCGGAGTTTGTTCAGCTCTATTTGTTATCCACTTTTGGGGTCCAGTTCATCTTGAAATCTGAAAACTTATCTTTTGTTACTTTTGTTTGTAATTGATTTTGCTATCTTTGTCTGATTCTAGATGCTTTCTTTTCATTCCCAAGTTTCAAATTCTCATTCTGTCTTTCAATGGAAAAACATTAAAATATTGTCTGTTCCAGCCTTAAAAGTGTTTTTAAAATAGGTTAAAAAGTGTTTTGATATCAGTGAAAAGTGTTTTGAAATCAATAAAAGGTGTCATGTGTTCTCTTCTTCTTCTTTTTGGGCAGGGGTGCTCTATAGGCACTTGTTAACAGAATCCTAAAATATTTTTCACATTCTAATATTCTCACATAACTTTCAGATACTTGGCTCCAGAGTATGCTGCTTCAGGAAAACTTACAGACAAGTCCGACGTTTTCTCATTTGGGGTCATGCTTCTGGAGTTGATTACTGGGCGCCGACCTGTTGACTCAAGTCAATCTTTCATGGATGATAGCTTGGTAGACTGGGTGAGCAATTACATCCGAACCATTATGTCTTTTTCCAAGCAATTATATGTTTCATAGTCTGTAGCTCAGATATAATGCAATCCTTTTCATGATTTTTTTTGGCTAGCCTAACAAAGTTGACTTTGTTGTAGGCGAGGCCATTGCTCACACGGGCTTTGGAAGATGGAAACTTTGATACCCTTGTTGATCCACGGTTGCAAAGGGATTACAACAACAATGAGATAGCTCGCATGGTTGCTTGTGCTGCTGCTTGTGTACGTCATTCAGCACGACGTCGGCCACGAATGAGCCAGGTAATTTAGTTTGCCTTTTAAGAGCTTGAAGGTTTATTTGCCACAAGTTACCCAATTCCAATATTTGGGAATGATGTGATCAACAGAGTTTGCACCATTGGATCTTACCTTGATATATAATTGGGAATATATTTAAAAGAAGTTATTGGGGGTTTTTTTTTTTTTATTTTTTTTATAATATTTTTCCAATAATGATTGGGCCTTTGACATGGCCGGGCTCCTCACAGTTGGTGTATCTTGCACCATAAGACTTTGAGGAGCATGTCCTGTATTAATTCTTGATAACCATAGCTCTAGGGTTCGATGCTTTAGAGGAAAGATGCTCAAATTTGAACTTACATGTGCTATTTGTAAGCTTACTGTTAAGAATTTTGTAATATCTAACCAGAATCGGTGCAACACAAAAACAGACAAGAATTGTAAATAACACACATACAAAACCACAAGAACACAAGATTTGCGGTTCACCCCAAAACTGGGGCAACATTCAGAGTCATTGCAGTTTAACTATAATTAGAAAGAGTTACAACTGAGATACAGAGATAGTTGTCACATCACAAATATGAAAATACCAAAATACCCTTACTCTAAATTTTTGTCGGGGACGAGCGGTTAGTGTCCAGTACTCCTTGTTACCCCCAACACTTCTAACTGATGAATCATAACTGAATTGCGCAGGTCGTACGGGCCTTAGAAGGAGATGTATCCTTGTCTGACCTTAATGAAGGAATCAGACCTGGACACAGCACAGTCTACAGTTCTTATGGTGGCAGCACAGACTACGACACCAGCCAATACAACGAAGACATGAAGAAATTTAGGAAGATGGCTCTGGGAACGCAGGAGTACGGAAGCAGCGAGTACAGTGGATCAACTAGTGAATATGGTTTGAATCCGTCTGGCTCAAGTATCGAACAAACCACTCGAGAAATGGAGATGGGAAAGATGAAGAAAGACAGTCGTGGTTTCAGTGGAAGCTCATGAAAACTGATACCCTGCTGTAAAAACCCCGTTTGCCCTAATTTTTATATGGTAACTCGTTTGTTGATTTGATTGCAAAAATGGCATGTCTGGTATGAGCTAACATACATTTTTTTTTTTTTAAACTGTTTTTTCCCCCTAAAAGAATGGTTTTTCCTTGTATCTATTAGGTATATAAAACAATAATTGAGATACTTGTTATATTCATTTATTTAATGTTTGAATGACAGATAGCTTTGATTTGGTGGTTCAAATCTGTTGAGAATTCTGCTTTAACTTGTTTGTATCAACTTTGCTTGAAATTAAAGTGGCAGTTGGATTAGAATCTGTTGAAAGTTAGATGACAACCTACCATATGCTGTTTTTTGGAACTAATGTATATTGATTTGATTGCAAAAATGGCATGTCTGGTATGAGCTAACATACATTTTTTTTTTTTTAAACTGTTTTTTCCCCCTAAAAGAATGGTTTTTCCTTGTATCTATTAGGTATATAAAACAATAATTGAGATACTTGTTATATTCATTTATTTGATGTTTGAATGACAGATAACTTTGATTTGGTGGTTCAAAGCTGTTGAGGATTCTGCTTTAACTTGTTTGTATCAACTTTGCTTCAAATTAAAGTGGCAGTTGGATTAGAATCTGTTGAAAGTTAGATGACAACCTACCATATGCTGTTTTTTTGGAACTAATGTATATTTTTGTCAATTATTGTATCCGAATTGTCGTGTAAGACAAGACATGCAAAATGTACCAGGTTGACAAGGGCACAAGTGTCGAGTGTGTTGAATATTTTGTGGGTACTCACTACAATTTTGTCATTTTTACATGTATTTGTTTTGGGTGTAGAGTTGGGAATTTAATGTGTAAGATTTTATTTTATTTTATGTAGAAATCTTAAATGTGAGTGAGATTGAGAGATTTGAGAATGATAAACCAAAAGATACCAGGTGCATGAGAGTGAGCAGGGAACTGAGTTATCCCCCCTTGAACATAATAACAAGAATTATTTCATGATTCAGATATTATGTTGGGTTTTTAGGTGTTTTTTTCACTCATGATTGTGATCTCTACGATTTGAAGTGATTCTCTCTTGCATATGAATGTAGGCAAGTTTGTCACTATGCAATTTTTTTTTTTGTTGTGCACGGGAGACTGATTTTCGGTGGGATGTAACGTTACAATATTACATATCTAAAATTTTATTTAAAAATATCAATATGTGATTTCTATGCATGAATACACCAACCAATTAATAATAAACTCATTGCAAAACTTGCATGCACAGTGAGCCTATGATGGATGCATTACTTGTTTGGAATATGAAAATGGTCCACCATTGTGGCTTTATGCCAGTTCACATACAAGCCAGAGAAAGAGAACTATGACTTATTTTAATATGGGTTTCAAAGTCAGGCAAAATTCTTAGTTGTCAAATGCAATGAACCATCGAAGAGGTCAACATTGCTTGCAGTATAATAAGGTGGGCTGCACATTACTTGGTCGTTTATGCACGTGGCCTTCATATTTTCTCTTTTTGGTATTTCTTCTGTTTTGGTCAGTGAGTAGGCTGCACCGAGGTGCTTTTTTGATTAACAAAAAAAAAAAAATTATATCAATAAAAAATTGTTTTTCATGTTTGTTGCACGAATAAAACCAAGGTCACACCACTAGAGTTAGCAAGAGAGAAATCCTATCACAAAAAAGCTACTCGCTTTATGCCCTTTTTTTTCTTTTTGGGCACTTAGAGTGTGTTTGATTGGACAGACTGGATAAGGGGATTAGAATCTATCGGACTTAAGTCATGGGACTGTCAATCCCCCGAATTATTTGGTTGGATTGGATATGTATCCTGTGTTTATTTTTTCGTGAGATTAAAGGAGACTGATTTTCGGTGGGATGTAACGTTACAATATTACATATCTAAAATTTTATTTAAAAATGTCAATATGTGATTTCTATGCATGAATACACCAACCAATTAATAATAAACTCATTGCAAAACTTGCATGCACAGTGAGCCTATGATGGATGCATTACTTGTTTGGAATATGAAAATGGTCCACCATTGTGGCTTTATGCCAGTTCACATACAAGCCAGAGAAAGAGAACTATGACTTATTTTAATATGGGTTTCAAAGTCAGGCAAAATTCTTAGTTGTCAAATGCAATGAACCATCGAAGAGGTCAACATTGCTTGCAGTATAATAAGGTGGGCTGCACATTACTTGGTCGTTTATGCACATGGCCTTCATATTTTCTCTTTTTGGTATTTCTTCTGTTTTGGTCAGTGAGTAGGCTGCACCGAGGTGCTTTTTTGATTAACAAAAAAAAAAAAATTATATCAATAAAAAATTGTTTTTCATGTTTGTTGCACGAATAAAACCAAGGTCACACCCTTAGAGTTAGCAAGAGAGAAATTCTATCACAAAAAAGCTACTCGCTTTATGCCCCTTTTTTCTTTTTGGGCACTTAGAGTGTGTTTGATTGGACAAACTGGATAAGGGGGATTAGAATCTATCGGACTTAAGTTATGGGACTGTCAATCCCCCGGATTATTTGGTTGGATTGGATATGTATCCTGTGTTTATTTTTTCATGGGATTAAATGTCTGGAAAAGACTATTTTTAGTGATCCAACGTTTGGTTGGACAGACTGGATAGGGTAAATGAACAAATGACTATTTTATCCTTTTTTAACTGTTTACTAAGTAATAACAATATTAAACATATCTTTAATATTTTAATTTTTTAGCTAGATTAAATAAAATTTTATTTTATTTTATTTCTTACACAATTAAATAAATCTATTTTTTAAACAATTAAATAAATTTATTTTTTAAAATTAAATAAATAAAATATCAATAAAAATATATGTTATTTTTTAATTAAAATTTTAAATAAATTTATTTTTTAAAATAATAATGATTAAATAATGAAATTAAATAAAACATCTATTAAAATTTAAATAATGAAATTAAATACATTATAACAAAAATTTAAAATAAAACATTAATAAAATATCTATAAAAAATTATTTTAAAAAATTAAATAAATAAAACATCAATAAAAAGTTAAACAAAATTATTTTACTTTTAAATTGAGACATTTATATTTTATTGAATTTTACTAAATATAATACATAATTAAATAATAGAGGGTCAAAATGGTCATTTCATCATCTAATCCCAACAGTGGATAGTCTCCCGAAAATTGTCCCATACCCCCCCTCTCCCAGGATACAATAGTCCCCCATATGGAGGACAAGGAGTCCGGCCGGACTCTATGTTTGGTGGACTAAAAAAAAAACAAACGCCAGATAAAGAGCCTCCCTCGAATTACAATCCCAATAGTGAATAATCCCCCCCTATCCCCCAATCAAACACACCCTTACGGGACTGTCTTGTTGGCCAGACTTATTTACCTATAAGTCCTATTTTTCACCTATTAATATCTCCAAAATGACCTCCTCACATTTTTCATCCCAATTATTCACAGTACCATGATTGCACCTTCCCATGCCAAAGACCACCTTCGATTTTTGGAAACCACCTCAAGCCGTTGCTGAACACCTCTGTTCATCATCTCCGACCACCGGCAACCACCTCCAACAATATTCTTGATAACCATTTTTCAAGAAAAATTAACATCCATCTCCACCACGTCACTCTCCCATACCTCCTTAGATTTGATAATAACAAGAGAAATGAAAAAGTAAAAATATTTAACCATGACAAATTTATCACTATATCAATATTTATCAAGGAAGTTAATCACTTACTATATTTCACTATCACACTCACACTTACATACATATTCCCTCACTATTTCATTCAACGAAAATATATGTATATATATAATGAATAAGACTCACTATTTCATTCAACGAAAATATATGTATATATATAATGAATAAGACTGATAAATTTATCATTGTAATAAATTTATCACTATATCACTATATCACTATTTATCAAACCAGTTAATCATTTGCTCTCTTTCACACACTCCCTTAATTATTCATTCAAAGAAACACATCCACACTCACCTATAGAAAATAGTTTCATCGGTGATAAATTTATCACTAACACAAATTTCTCCAAACATTAATTTACAAGCAATTGACAAAGAGAATAAGAAAGAGAAGTGCGGTCTGAAGAATTTGCCTCTTTCATCATCATCATCATCATCATCATCATCATGTTACAAATTTGGAAAGAAAAATTAAAAAAAAGTGCTGAAAGTCAAACCCAAACAAAACCAAATTAAAGAGCAAAAACATATCTAATCAGAAAGATTTTTCAGATTCTGGTGTGGTTGTCAAGGTTTTTTCAATGGATCTTTGATGATAGTATAGATTGGTGACGGCAAAATGTAAATTGGAGAACATAAAGTGTATATCGAAGATAGTAGAGTGTTGATTGACGATAGTGAAGGTGGTTGGTGAGCGGTGACAGCGGAAGGCGGCGGTGGATTGTGGCAGTAGGTGTTGTGACGGTCAGGGGCGGAGGGACATTGGGCTCAGGGGGGTCACATGCCCCCTGACTTTTGATTTTTTTGTTGTTGTTGTTGTTTGAGTGTGGTTTGTCTTTCACACATAGATTATGCCCCTCCTAATACACAATTTCAAACCTACTAACCCACTGACACACACACCACACGTTTGTATATATATATATTTATTTTTTTTGGAATCCCAATCCCAATTAACAATTGATACACAATTTTTTTTTAGGTGAGTGCACATAACTCCAATTATAGTAAGGTTAAAACTCTAAAACTCTAAAAGTGTATGAAATTCTTTTTTTTTTTTTATTTACAATATTTGTGAAGTATCTTCGTATTTTCTTTATCTTCTTTGTCTCCTTTTGTTACTTTGCAATTTACCGACTTACGATTCACCAAATTAGGATCACACAACACATATTTGGGACCACATTACAACCTTGGTATCTTCTCTTCATTGTTTACATGTAACTTTATTTTTATTTTTTACTTTTAAATAAAAATTATGAGTATTAATTTATAATTATCTGTTAAGTTTTGATTTGTAAAACTTTTGATTTGTTATTATTTATGTTAAAATAAGAGATTTTGATATGCTAAAATTATAAATCTTAATTGGTGGTGATTTATATTAAAATTAGGGATTTTAGTTTGTTGTTGTTTATGTTAAAATTAGGGATTTGATTTGTGCTAAAATTAAAAATATTAATTTGTAGTGATTAGCATTTAAATTAGGGATTTTGATTT